TTTTATGTCTGAGATAATCAAAAAGCGAACTCATGAATATTACATCGATTTCGAACCATGATTTTGCGTTTTCTTGACATATTAACGCGTGCGGATGTTGTGGATTATGAACAAGATGTAAATGAGACAGATGTGACAGAAAGCATGTAAAGGTACATCTAGAGATATACGTATACACGAAACTGTTAAATGGTACACATCTGTAAACAATTCCTTTTTTCCCCGCGCCCTTCGTTTTCCCATGCTGTATATTATTAATATAATTAAATCTTAATTATTATTAACGTAAAAATAAAGATCTGGCGATCTGATGATGAAGACATTTTGTTAGAATGGCGGAAGCTAAATTACTATTGAATTTCAATTAATAAATGACATGAAAGTAATGTGCAACATACACCTGGCGTTTTGCTTTATTTGCCGATCATCATCACCTATGGTCGAGAAATTCTCATTTCTCTTTACCTCGTCGATATTCTATGTCAGTATCGTGAAAATCGAATCATCCTATGGTTTCCTCTTGTAAATTACTTCTTGTTGTATCATAATGTTGATTGTTCAAATAAATGCGAAAGTGCGCTATTCCTATTTGGTTTTGATCATTATTGATAATCTGCGTAATACATTTCTCAATGATCGCTCGATCGACAAGCATTCCGTACGCGAGATAAGGTCATTAGATATTCACCCAACTAGAAAGGTCTCGAAAATAAATTTTATAGAAAAAAATATTCGCGAGAAACATCACTGATCAAAATCAGTTGTTGTCTGTGTTGGATTTTGTAATGGTTACGGTTTCTGCAGGATTTTTTGATTTCACAATAGATAAATCTGAAATCTCTCAAGCTTTAAAATCTTTTTTTTTTCGAATCACCGTGGGCGAACACTTTTACTCTCGTTTCTCATTTCCATCCGTGATGTATCCATGAATAATTACGGTAAAAGTTCATTCGCGCGACTTAACCGTGGCGTGGTGGTATTGAAGTCTTTCATTGCATTAATTAAGAGCTTAATGAACAACGTGAGCGACGTGGGGAAACGGCGAAAAATATGTATTCGCACGCATAATCGATCGAACCTGAATAGCACTTCATCTCTCCGAGACCTTTTCCTCGCGATTGTCTCTCGTTTCCACGAACGAAGTCCGGACTCTGTTTGTCGATCGACGGCGAGAAATACCTCGTCCGATCGCTCGATTATTCTCTCGTACGTCGCATCGTGTATAATTACCGCACGATATGACGAAATTGCCGTGACGGCCAAGTGACATGCGGGATAATCGCACGTTGCAGGAAAAAAAAAATGCTTGAGATAGTGACGCACGTCGATGAAATCCATTAAACGTTTATAATATTCTGGGATAGGTATGTTCTATCGTTCTATCGTTAATAAAGATATTGTACAATTCGTGCTGAAACAACAGAGAAACGATCGAAAACACACGTCAATACGGATTATTAATTACATTTACATTATGTTCTAATTAAATTAATTAATAGTAGATTATCTAATTAGAACTACATGTGCGATTTGATATACGCACGTATCTAAATCGCTAAATCGCTTATCGGATGATACGCAATCGACCTTTAAATAGCAATTTCAAGTTTATTTAATGGTATAACACTCTTATATTAGGCTTTTCATTATTACACATTAATTTCTGTTTATATTTTATATATTTGTTTAACGCTTGTGTGCGCGCTTTCAGTTGCTTCCGCAAATTGTTTTATCACTTAGAAACAGTCCATTACGCAAAGAAGCCATTGGAAAACATTGTTCTAACGTTCGTGAGATTCCAGCGAGATCTTGGTGTTTGCTCATCATCGAACGTATCGGACTGACTCCGAAGGTGTTTCTCGCTACGCCTACGGTTACGCGTCGAAGGCTCGTGTCGTTGTTGCTTATCGCGAAATCGAATATCGTGGCACGTTTTACCTTGAAGAAGCAGTCGTCTCCTCCCAGGGATTTTATTGCTCAAGTCGAGTGATGCAATCTGAAACGAAAAAGGTTTCAACATTGCTTTCATTCAGTAATAGTTAACACGTAGTCTTTTTTTTTTTTTTTATTCAAAAGAGTCCGCGATTCAGATTTGTAGTTATTTAATTTCTTGCCGTCAATAAAAAGCCTTGTGTAGCCGGCCTCGCTGCTTGTAGTTAAGCCACTTAAAATATCTGACTTAAAAGATCTTGACATCTTGTTATAGTTATTATCACTTATTCTGGCCGCTCTTCTCTTTACCCATCCCGTAAACGTCAAATAGTTCGATCAATTAATAAACCGGTATCGACGTAAATTATACAAAAGCTGCACTACACACAAGTAAAATGGTAACTTTAGACGAAAGAAGGCAACAAACATGTTTATATAATCAACATGTTTATATTTCCAAAAAAATGTGCAATATGATTGAAGAAATGAGAAAACAAGATTAGTGTTTTCTTAATAATTAACGACTTAATTTCAACGTAGGAAACGATCGACCGGTTTAACGTTTTTTATTTCGAGGCATTATTTCAAAATACTTTGACAGCAGATATTGACGCTGCAATTTCATCGATCGACGTTTAATAATCATGAATTCTTAATTGTGTTTTTCTCCTGTTTGATGTCGCCGAGAAGCGAATTACGAGAGTCCGATGGAACTAATCGTTACCATAGATAGCAAATAGTAAATTATTATCGCCCGAAATCATCCTCGATTTAGCGTAACAAGATTCTGCTATCGCAACCAATATCGGCGTTTATTGTATTACAACTGATCTCATGCTGATGCTTTCAGCTGAAATTATTGGTTGGCGCGACATGCTAAATCTAGAACGCAAAATATTTAGATCAGTACGCGTCGTGCCCGAATGTGATGATTTGTCTGCGCTATTTCTATATGATTTCTCCACAAAAAGACCGTGAATTAATTGGAAGTATACCACATTTGGTCCAATTTTTGCACGTTGAGTCCGCTGGAAGGGAACAGCCTCTTTATACGACGAAAACACTACATTATTAATTATGCGGAGAATGATTCGCGATGTACCGCTCGATTAATCATACATAAATAATGTTGTACACATTCTTTTATTAAACCGAACATGTTTGATTCAAATAGTATTAAATTATTAAACGCAAATTGCACAAACAAGAGATCTTGTTTAGAATCCAGTACACGGTCAAGTCGATCAAACCTGATAACAAGCCGATGCTCCGATGGGGAATTTGCAAATGATAATCTGAAATTTTGGAATCAATCAGCAGTCAATTGTTTTTCAACAATTTTCTAGTTTCGTTAGAACTTTATCTCTTACAATTACTTCTCTGAAGTAGTACGTCTAAAATATTTGATGATTGAATACCTTTCTATTCTATGATTTCAATTTCCTTTCGATTATCGATTCGCCATGCAAAATTAGCAGATGTAAGAGCTCTTGATGAAGGCGTTGTCTTTAACGTATCGCTAAACCATATATGTAACAGTATACTTTTTCCAGTCGAACATGACGACCAATTGTGTAACGGGTTTAAAACTCTTTAACCACCTCTTGCGCCACGTCGAACGACGCGGAAATACGACTGACCGTTATATTCCAAACGCGTGCGTTTGTCTCGTAAATCTCGATCGAGTAAGCCATAGTATTCGTCTTTTTTTTTTTTTTTTACTAACCCACCGAATCTATTCGGGGGTGTAATACTCCTCCTCCGCCAGCACTTTTCACGGTGTAAAAAGTCGCACGGGGCCATCACTCCTGTCCGTTCCCGCGTTTCGTCCGCGATTGCGCGCGCGCGCGCGCGAGAGTATTTTTACAATCGGTTTTTACACGCATTGTTCGCGGTTTATGTCGCGCTTATTTTTACGGCCGTTAAAGGCGAAAGAATATGATCGCGCGGCCGCGAAACAGCCCGTCGATTTCATTGCCTGCGTTCGCTTCCTGCTGCGGCTTCCCCGCAAACTAATCTGATGCATTATTCAGTGCTTCGTCTCTTATCTAAAAAAAATCACAAATAATTCTATTTAGAATATTAATCAAATTATATTAGCTCAAGCAATAAAGAGGATAGACTTTGTCTCAGAGACGTAGTATAAACAAACAATTTCGTTGATTTTAGCATTAAAATTTTTCGGTTTTAGTTTGGGAAGCGCATTGCAGATCGTTTTATAAATTTAAGTCGCGGACAAAAATGCGTTTATAATTCCCGGAATTAATTCCGAAAATAACACGTCGCGCAAAACCCTGGGACAATAATATACTCACGGGGAAACAACATAAAAATCTCCAGGACATTAATATGCAAATTTCACGCGCGACAATTACGCTGGTGGTAAAGATCCTGGCTTCCTGACGCGCGGCGATCTCCGCCAATCGAGGCGAATGGGCGTTACGGTGAAGGTATCGCGTTACAATCTACTCACTTCGGAAGCGCGCGAATATGCTTCGGGTAATCTCTGCCGAGAGAGCAAAAGACAGGCGGGGATAATACCGATAATCATAATCGCGGTCGTCAATAACCGCGATAGGCCTCGCGATCTGCCGCCATCGCTCGGTTCGGCGGCTGTCGGGATATATCAAGCGTGTCGATTTTCATCGCATTGACTTGTGAGACACGTTTTCTTTGACGAATCTACAATCAACAATTTTTTTCTCAAAAGAAATATCGATACTTAATGTTATTTTTTCTGGGTGATGAATCACCGAAAAAAAGTGACTTTTTTGAGATTTGAACCTTGAAGCTAAAAAACTTTGAAATTAAATCTTATTCTTGAAAAAGAATGATTAATAGACTTGAATAACATTACGTAATACGAGTAAACAAATGTCGAAATATTTATTGATATATTTGCTGATATAAATTAAAAATCTATGCCCATATTAAGGATAAATCCGTTTCAGATTACAAAGTGTTGTTATGGTGATGCGAGCAAATTCTCTTTTCGTATGCCGATGCACGCACGAATGTGCAGTTCGCAACAGAGGTGACGATCAGGTGGCTGACACGTGCTTCCGGTTCCTACCGACGAAAGAACGGCGTTCCCCGATGCGCGACGTTTAAGTGCCCGTGTACCATCCAAGCGTATCCACGCGAGGCAGATTATTATGTTAATGTGCGAATTTTGACTTTAATTATGTGTGGAAATATGCATCCGATTAAGATGTATCATGCGAGAAGTGGGGAAATCGCAGAAAGCCGAGATTTGCAGCGGAATTCAAACGCTTTCCTGGGCGCGTCATTGCTTCTCGGCGCAGAATAAACGAAGTGCGACGCATTCCGTGATTAAGTCGTTAAATGTATAGGTTTTAAATCGATCGATTTGAGTAAGAGTTTACGAGAATCATTTTAAAATATTCCAGAATTTCCGTCAATGAATAACGAGTTAGATTCATCATTATGACAATTTTTTGCATTTTTATGAGATTATTAAAAATATAAATTTCATAAATGTCTCTCTCGTCTCTTTCGAAATCGCATTAAGAGATGATAATTATGCCGCAAGATGATGATAATTATGACGCCGAATATAATATTCAATATTGCATCTGGTCTGATTGACCGTGATATACATATCGCAGGCTTCACAGATCAATATTAAATTACGAGACAGCCCAGCTATTTCGTTATTATTAATATCAATTATTTAATTATATCAAGCAGCACGTGGCAATTTATTGGAATTATATAACGCAGCAAATCCACGATAATATATCCTCGCGTGAAACATTTAAATCCCTCCTTAAATAGTGAACGCAAAAACACGACACCCTTTAAACACCGATGTTATAAAACCACTAACCATCTCTCCCGTTCTACCGATTCACCCCTCCCCCCCTAGCGATGCTACTCGCTCCCTTGGCTGAGATCACAAACGTACTGATTTGACGCTACACCTGTCACACCCTCGTTAGCCCTGCTCCCCCGCCATTGACAGTGACATCGGTCATTTCGGAAGTCGTTCTCCCCTTTCCGTCGTCTCTCGTCACGATCCACCGATCGGGTGCCCTCCGACTGGTCAACGGTAACAACGGCTTCTATGATGAAAGCAGACAACAGAAAGAGACAGGAAGACAGAGAGGAAAAAAGCAGCGCGCGAAACCAGGTGCCAGCCAGGAAATCGTCGGATGGTTTCACCTCGGCGATGCGTGACACGCGCGAACAATGAGCGGCGCGTATCGAAAGGGGGTGAAACTGACCGACAAGCGGGAGAAAAAAGGATAGAAAATCATCAGACAGAGACACTTGACGAGAGAAGGAGTGAGGCAGGGATAAAATCCGAGTTCTCTGAGGAGAAAGAGAGGGAAAGTCGAGAGAAGAGAAAGGGAAACGCAAACGAGGGATGGACGGACAAACGAGGAGAAAGACGGGAGACGACGGGAAAAACGGGATGGACGGAAGGGATGAAAGCGACGAGGTGCGGAACGAAGGGAAAAGATGAGAAGAGGGGATGAGCAGCAGAGTGGGGTGGCTGATAAGAGAGGGACGCGGTTCTAGAAGAGGGAGAAAAGGGAGAAAGCGGAGAGATGAAGTGGAGGGACTATGTGGCGCGCAGGCGCTAATCAACCCCTATCAACCCCTTCGATTCACGACGGGCATGCGCTCTGGGGATCGCGTCCGCGTTTCCTCCTCGTCCTCCCCCTGTGTTCTTCATCCCTCCTTCGGTGTGGTTTCGTTCACACCTACTGAAATTATTGTTATAGGCGTAGCGCGACGTCTGCATGAACTCACGCGTGCAATTTGCGCTGCGACGCTTCGTCCTCGGATCTGTGCCTCTTTCTTCGACGATACCGATCGATCGACGAAAGCCGGCCTTCCTAGTTTCTAAAATTATAACGTCGACTTCTTCAATATCTTTATTTAAATCTCCGATCTAAATCTCTTTCCAGTATTTCATTTGCGTTTTCTACGATTTCCGCAATACGTTGCGGTAATTTTTCCTTTGTTCTGTTTGCGTAGAATTTTCTTCAAGATTTATTATCTATTACATAAGCATATGTAAATTTACGCATTATACACATAAGCATACGTAAATTAACGCAAAAAGATCTTCATAAATCTCAGAGACTAAAGTGGCCAATTGTAGGAAAAAAGAATAACTTCGTGAACTTCAGCACGATATATCCCTATTTGAATGTTAAAGTATTAGGATGGTTCAATGGAATCGACATATAGGCGGATTCCAATTCTCTCGAGATCTCGTTATCACGGCGCCAATCCCGATCGCCTTCCTGACATTCCTCGGATCGCGCATTAGCGAGGCGTGAACACCGTGCCGCGTGAACGGTCGGTATCGCATTGATTTAATAGCCGATTGATAAAAGTAGCCGTTCGTACAAGAGACCGGTAGCCCGTACGAAGTCGTTACTACACGTTTCTCGACCTTATCTGGAACACCATAATTATACCTAGCGACACCTCTCTCACGGCGGCTCTCTACTGCATCTTCATCTTGGATCGTCGCGCGCTTTGTTCGCCAACATTCCATGCGCGAGATACGAGCAAGCCTCGACATTTCAAACCACTGGTAGAGGTTGTTCCGGAGAGAACAATCGACATTTTAAAAAGTTACTGATCGTCGAAAACAGAAAATCCCCGTTACCTACATATTTTTCGACATTTACGACGTTTGTGCACTTTTAAATTTCAATTATTACATTTTTCAAATATATTAGCAAATATGTGGCATTTTTTCTATTCTTATAACGAAAGATATGTTATATACACAACTAGAGACTAACGCCTATTTCAATTGTAGAATATGTATCTATCTCTCGTTTGCCTGTCTAACTTGTCGTTCGAGTCGGCAAATTGTTCTTGCTTCTGTTAATTAGTTATTGACGAACATTTTATCTCTCGCTTAATGGCTGTCTCTCTCTCGAGAGAGACATGGCATAAACGAATGTAGACGCAATCATTCTTGCTCGCATATACATATAGACGCTCATACGCGATAAGGAAATGGAAGTGCGATCGTTATGAGAATAAGCACGTCCAAACCGCACGGCAAAACCGCTATCCACATTATTAGTTGAATAAGTCTTTTTCCTGAGTGCGGTCGCACGCAGATTATTCATTCTTCATTCCTCATTTCACAAATAACTTAAGCGATCAAGGAAACATTCTAAAACATCTATTCCTTTCTATTCTACCGTAAGGGATAAGGCAATTAAAAATAGAATTCTTACTGCTCGCCAACGCGCCATCGCGCGTTTATCGGAGCAACCTGACTTGTCGATAATTTCTTTACTCATATTCAATAAGAAATGAAAATTAATTAAGCACAAAGTTTAAAGCTTAATTTTAAATGTTCACTCACGTTTTCACATTTGAGAGACATTTGGCATGTTATTTTGACGACATTTCCGCGGCATTTAGCATCTTAAAAAAACCTCCAAGGAACTCGCCGGAAGAGGTTATCTTTTACTTACCCTTATGGCTCGCGAGATTTCCTACATCGCAGCCGCGACAGCCTCCTTCTCTCAAGGTAGTCGCCTCGTTGACATTCCACGAGTGTATTAGCGAGGCGTGAACAGATCCTGACACCAGCGCATTGATTTAATAGCCGATGCCCACACTAGGATCTTCGTCGTCTTCTTTATACGAACGGACGTAGGTACGTACCTACGTGCATACGCGGTACGCGTGTGCGGAGGAAACAATTGAACGCCATCCTTCCCCCTCCCTCCTCTCTCTCTCTCTCTCTCTCTCTCTCTCCCGTTTTTCTCTCTAGATCTCTTTCTCTCCCTTCAACCGCTGTTCCGTCGAGTTCTCTCTTTCCCTCTCTCTCTCTTTCTCTCTCGTTGTAATGCCCTCTCTCGCACTCCGAAGCTTAATAAGCATCGCTACCTACATTCCATTTCCGGTGACGCTGACGTCACTCAACAATCCGGCTACGGAGAGCGAGCGTGAGCCGCGTACGCGAGACATCGGCTGCGTTCCAAAATTTACTGCTAATACTGAAAATCTATAATATACATGACCTGAACCTATATATTTTCAGTACTAACAGTGACTGGATCGGAACGCAGCCTTCATCTATCGTTTACGTATCTCTGCACCGAATTTTCCACCGCGATGTTGGGCCTTAAGAAACAGCGCAGTTTGCAATTAAGTCGAAAAAAAAAGACGATTAATTTGAATGAATTGAAGGATAGTAAAGGTTTCCTTATATTCTCTCTCTTTCTAAACTTTTATATATTATTCTTAAATATAAAAATAATTGATTGACTCCATGAGAAAACAGATACATGTAAACAGACAGAGATAAATCTCAAGATTTCACAATGATTTTAATTGTTTCGTCGTCTTCAGACCTTTGGCAGAATTTAAAAGTCAATTCTACCATCCAGTCGATCCATCGTGATCGAAAACACGTCGACGCGAAACGACGTCACCGTCTAACGATCGTCTTCAGTTCCATTCGAAACTCTTGGGACGTGCGAACTTGTCGATGTTAAGTACCGGATCCACTTTGCGAGAGATTCCTTGGGATCGTCCTTATGCCAACCTTGTTCACCTCTCGGATATTCTTTTTCATCAATTTTCTGTTTTTCTCTCTTTTTTTTTTTTTCCTTCGCGAGATTGTAGTGGTCCCGGCGAAACGGAGCGAGGGAGAAAGAAAAACTAAGAAAGAGAGAGGGAAAGGAAAAAAGACGGGAAGACCGAGGTGACGGAGACAAACGTAGAGACGGACGTAGCGTAAGAAGGAAAGGAGAGAACCGATCGTGCGTCCGACAGCAACATAACCAGGTAGGCCTTGAACAGAAAGAAAAAAAAAAAAAAAAAAAAACTCGGGGACCCACGCGCATACGACTCTCTAGGAGTGTTGGCTCGTATAGAGGCATTCTCGACTGGCGCTGCCGGGCAAAAGACAGATAAATAACTCAGCTATGGCATTGGCTAAGTAAACGAGCCTACGCATGCGCTCGTGAAACGTACACCTGTACGTCCACGGTGTCGTGTACGTGCGTGTACACGTGTGCAACGTGTGTGCACACGCGCACGTCACGGCGAACGCAGTACATCTCTTGTACGGTACATGCTCGCGTAGGCGGACTTATTCGTGTACATCGCGAATCTTTTTACTTCTCGTGCACACGCGCGTGCGTAGGTAAGTGCGTGTCCGTATATACACGCTCGAAAACGTGCGCTCGTGCGTGCAGGCGTGCGTGCGTGCATCTGCACGTTTATGCGCGGTTCGCAGCGCGATAAAGATTGAACGTTCCTCGAGAGAGCGCCGCTCTTTTAGGTAGCCGAGATCACGTCGGGATCCGCCGACGCTCGCTTGACTTATGCCCGCATTACCTTACACTGCCCGCGGAAACGCACTTGGTCGCGGGAAATGACGGGACCGACGCATTTGTCGAAGTGTAAGAACGTGGAAGACGGGAGACCTCTTCGCGTCACAGCCCCGTTCGGTTAGAGATTATTTCATTGAGATTACTTCATTTTTTAATATGCCCATGTTTTATTTTGAGAAATTATCCTCGACTCCCATGCAAAATTAGGAATTTAGAATTTTCCGATCAGATTCCAGAGTATTTTAACTCACTTCTTGAAAAGCAAATAAATTAACACGTATAATGTAGTACTAAATTTATAAATTGATAGCTAAATCATCAGAGATGGATATATTATACGTAATATATATTCATTTTCTTACATTATATTTGTTATTTACTTCTTGATTGCTTTAATAAATCTTGTTTAGTATTATGTATCTCTCGTCTCGGAAAGAGGATATGACGAACGTCATATCATCGCACATGTGGCAAACGGAATAAGCGTTCCGTGCAAATAATCTTGGTGCGTGCATCCCGCGAACTCCTTCGCTCCTCTGTGGCTCCATTATACGCCAATAAAAGTGCCCAACACCCGGTAGTGAGATTTGGCACTTGAAGAATGAACATCGCATGCAATGGAGATACGAACAAACTGACGGACGGTCGGGCGCACGCCTCCTTACTCACTTATAAAGTTAATTGAGGGCAAACGTCCACCGCGGTCTACTGACTAACCCGAAAACATTCGTCGAGAAAAACTGCATAGGACCGTCAACATTATAAATTTGATTTTGAGAGACGTATCTAACAAAAACATCTCGTTTTCGTAAAGTATTATTGTCACAAATAACGATATTATGTACAATATATTTCTTTATACATTTTTGTATACGTTAAACAATTACGTTATACAATTCGGGAACTATCTCGCGAAGTTTATTCCAGATGCGCAGATTAGACGGTTAAGCACGAAATCGTTTTTTACTTACTTCGAAGTAAAGTGCTCGTGCATCATAAATACATCTCGATTTCGCGAAATGCACTCCATACGCGAAACGTGTAATGACAAGCTGACACGCCGTGACATAAACGCGACCCATATTCGTCAGCCACGAGAGACAGTCGGAATTGATGGTGTATATGTGTGTACGTGTGTGCGTGTGTAAAAATAACAAAGAAGCTTTTCTAATAATTTACGACGAAAATTGACATACAGTCAAGAATTAAAAGTTAGGAAATTACGGAATCATATATTTTTAACATGAACAACCGCGCGTGACGTGACAAATCTAATTAATTCTTTTCTTACGTACTTTGCTTGCTATTTATATAAATCGAAATTTTCATTATTCATCAACTGTGACGTTTCGTCAGTTTGTCATTTAATTGATTGTGAAAATATCTGTGCGTCTCATTGACCTTCGCGATTGCTACATTATTCTCTGAGAGTCTACATTTTACGTTGAAAAGCACTCACGTTAAGTTATTACGTTACTGTGGCCTTCGGCAAAGCTGGGGTCAAAACACAGATATCGAGTGTGTCGAGACCAGTTTCTGCATTTTTCTCAAACGCGGGCAAAGTTTGTTCTGAATTATTTATGAGAGTAGTGTCGCAGCGTTATGATTATGGATTTACAGTGGGTGGACCGGTACTTAAGAGCGTGCAACAAATATGAAAGTTTTGTTAAATATTACTTATTTCTCACTCGCCTGCAACTCGAAAGATACTCGCGCTCCGAGTATACCTTTGTTTAAATTTTTTAATTTGAGGCTCTACCTCCGAGAGAAACGGACGTGTCACAATTTTTAGTAGGCTCATTAGGATCTTGACGTGGCACGATTGCCAATGTCGATATTGCTAGTCACTTATCTAGATGACAGCGGCAATTAGTCATACACCCTGCAGGTTAGCTTTTTCGATACTCGAGGAATTAATTCGCCCGTCACGTCACGTTTTTATGACTATCCTCGTTCGAGCTCGTTCGTATTACGCTGACGTATGTTCATTCATATGTCTCAATGCGGGATTCATTTAGTTACATCGGTGAGAGGTGTTGCGAGATTCGCGGTAGCGGGAATTTACGGAGGATGATCGCGCTAATTTCACCGCGGCGTGCAACCCGCGTCGCGTATCAATCATACATTTTTCGCCCGCGGGGCGAGATCGAGCTAACAAATCGCCAGATAGACGCACGGTCGTCCCGATGAATTATAGTAACGGCGTGACAAGCTACAAATATTGAATCTAATTATGGTAATGCGCCAGCAATCTATTTGCATTGCTGAATAATGAAGACACACAGGTGGCACGGAAAGATCCTCCACCCCGATCGTCGCCCGAATGGCGGGGAGACAAAGGGAGCGGGACGGGAAACCGGCGGAGAGGTCGGGACAGATATACAGAGAGACCGAGACGTAAGTAGGATGATTACCGGATCAGCCGCAAGTGAGATAGGGAAGAGACGAAGAGTCTACTTTGGAGCTCTCTCTCGTTGCTGCGATCGCACTAGCGATCGCGAGATGATTTCTCTAGATCTGCGCATTTATATGTAAAGATCTCATAGTTTGAATTCTGCGAATGCGGGAAATATCGGGAAAAGTAATTTAAATTATTCCAAAATTATTCTAAAGGATCTTTGGAGAAATTCTTTGCTTCCAAACAACGAAAAAAAAAAAAAAAAAAAACGAAATTACCTAGCGCGAACTTTGATAAATTGTCATTTATATTGAAATATATTCTTATCGGGGCATCGATGTGCCCTCATTTTCCCATTTTTTTTATCGTCATCATACGGATCGTTGATCGCGTGATTGATCGCGCGTGCATTTAAGTCCCTTCGCCGGTTTTTATTCTTTCTCCTGGATTACTTTTGCGCGCACAGTCGTCACTAATGCATGCAAATCATTAATTAAATTATGTGTCACCACGGATTCGTGTCGTCACGCTTCAAATTACGGAGCAAGTGGCCACAGGCCGACTTTTTCCACATTTCGCGGCGTACAAAACTATTTCTTAATAGTACTCACGAGGCAACACGTGCACGCATTCGCGTGTCGCATGGCGGGACGCAAAACTTTTGCGTGTGTTCTGTGTTTCGACGTGACCCGCGGGACCGATAAAACGCATTCAGATTAGAGCTCGTTCCTAGGAAACTTTTCGTAAATCTCGCCGGACTTCTTTTCGTCTAATCGAAAATCTGTCGTAAAGTTTTTGCCTTCGGGATGCCCCGTTTGGTGTCGGGACGATGATAAAGTGCCTCTGAGTGACCAATTCTGAATACAATATCGTACAGTTTGGAGAATACTCTTCTACGATCTTCGAGGTCGGATTTGCTCGTTCCTCCGGGGAACGATTATCTTGACTTATGCGTTTTTAATACGAGTGAGGAACTTACGAAAATATGAGTCATATTTTATATGCAGC